AAAGACCCTATAACGTTCAATTATGTTCTAAGTCGCAACGGATCTGTTTAGTTTGAAACACTGCCGTCGAGAGGTTTGAATGGTGTTACGAGTATGGCGTCAAACAATTATATTTTGGAATTTGCCCTAACCACAAGACAGCCATTTTTATCGTTTCAATAGCCCGAAGGCCTTTCGCGTTCACGGGCGGATTTAAGTTTTTCGCGTGTGGCTGAAACTTTTTTTCGTTGGCAAGGAAAAATCCAATGATTACCCTTAGGTAATCGTTTAAGATATACCCCTACACGACACGGGTACCTGTATCAAGCCAGCATATTTAACTGTGTATTGAATCGGTACAAACGACGCGATCTGAAATGCAAAAACTCGAAGCAACTTACCCTTCGTATGCCTTGTTTTTGGTTTCCATGTCTCTGTCATTCTATGGCTGACATTCATGCCTTTCCAACGCTGCTCTCTCTCTCTCTCTCTGTCTTTCCGCTGTCTATAAAATTAATGCTTTAGATTTTTAGCTGCCATCTTGTTGTTGTCAAATAATTTGTAACTTTTTATAAAAACCCTGTTGCTATTGTTTTTTTCAACTGCTAAAATAACACCCTGTATAATGCTGGTTTTAAATAAAAAAAATTTCAATCTGATTTTTTGTTTTGATTTTATGATTCTAGTAAATTGCGTTTATCTTTTTTCGATAAAGATTCGTCTAATTACTATTTAATTGTTTTTGGGTCAATTTTTCAGTTATTATAATAAAGCCCTGTATTATAGGAGGGTTATACTGTTTAATTAATTTTCGGTTAGTTAAGGTTTATTACGATTAAGTGATTTTTCTGTATTAATAAGCTGTTTTACCAGCTAAATTATAGTTTTTAGAATGTTAATATGTTTTGGGGATTTTTTTAGCTTGTTTTCCTGTTGAAATAAGCCAATATTTTTAATTATAGAATTTTTTTCTATGAAAAAAAATAATTTGCCTAATTGCAGTTAAAGATTAATGCTTTAAATACGATTTTTATTAGAAATAAGCCGTTTTAAGAGCCAATTATAGTTTTAGAATACATGGACTGTGTATTAAAAAACTGAAAAGCAATCTGAAATGATGAAATTCAAAGCAACTTACCCTCTGTCCTCTATTTTTGTCTCGTTTTTTTGGTTTCCATGTCTCTGTCGTCCTGTAGCCCTTCCAACGCTGCTCGCTCTCTCTCTGCCTTTCCGCTGTCTATAAAATTAATAATATAAAAAATTAATTCTTTAGATTTTTAGCCACCATCTTGTTGTTAAATAATTTGTAACTTTTATAAAGGCCTAGTAGCTATTGTTTCTTCTCAACTGATAAAATAACACCCTGTATAATGGGTGGTTTTAAATAGAATTTTTCTTCATTAGATAATAAATGTGTAAGTGAATTTGTTTAATATACCACTAATTTTGGTAGCTGGTTTGACTGTTTTAGAATTTAATGCTAATATTTTCAGTTATAGAATTTTTTACTACGAAAAGTATNATTATATATGGAAAATTATGAAAAATGACATCAAACTGAACTTTCATGAAAAAAAATAGCGGCAAAAAATTATTTTACGAAAAATAAAATCTGAATATTTTTAATGTAAAGAGCCAATAGTAATTTTAATTGTAAGGAAAGACCCTATAACGTTCAATTATGTTCTAAGTCGCAACGGATCTGTTTAGTTTGAAACACTGCCGTCGAGATGTTTGAATTGCGCTAAGAGTATGGTACCGAACAATTATATTTTGAATTTGCCCTAACCACAAGACAGCCATTTTTATCGTTTCGATAGCCCGAAGGCCTTTCGCGTTCACGGGCGGATTTAAGTTTTTCGCGTGTGGCTGAAACCTTTTTTCGTTGGCAAGGAAAAATCCAATGATTACCCTTAGGTAATCGTTTAAGATAGACCCCTACACGACACGGGTACCTTATCAAGCCAGCATATTTAACTGTGTATTGAATCGGTACAAACGACGCGATCTGAAATGCAGAAAAATCTAGCAACTTACCCTTCGTATGCCTTCTTTCTTCGTGTCTCTGTCATTCTGTTATCTTGTTTTGAACTTCATGCCTCTGTAGCCGAAATTCATGCCTTTCTGTCCTGGTTAGACTTTCAACTGCCTATAAAATTAATGTTTTAGATTTTTAGCCGTCATCTTGTTGTTGAATAATTTGTAACTTTTTATAAAGACCCTGTAGCTATTGTTTTTGCTCAACTGCTAAAATAACACCCTGTATAATACTGGTTTTAAATAAAAAAAATTTAATCTGATTTTGGTTTTGATTTTTATGATTCTAGTAAATTGCCTTTATCTTTTTTCAATAAAGATTCGTCTAATTACCTATTGTTTAATTGTTTTTGGTTCATTTTTTCAGTTATTATAATAAAGCCCTGTATTTAATTTTCGGTTAGTTAACGTTTATTACGATTAAGTGATTTTTTCTGTATTAAATAAGCTGTTTTACCAGCTAAATTATAGTTTTTAGAATGTTAATATGTTTTGAGGATTTTTTTAGCTTGTTTTCCTGTTGAAATAAGCCAATATTTTTAATTAGAAGTTTTCTTTACTATGAAAAATAATTATAGTTTAATATTAATGCTTTAAATATGATTTTATTATAAATAAGCTATTTTAACAGCTAATTATAGTTTTTAGAATACGTGGGCTGTGTATTAAAACTGAAAAGTAATCTGAAATGATGAAATTTAAAGCAACTTACCCTTCGTATGCCTTGTTTTTGGTTTCCATGTCTCTGTCATTCTGTAGCCAAAATGCATGCCTTTCCAATGCTGCTCTCTCTCTCTCTCTCTGTCTTTCCGCTGTCTATAAAAATAATAATATAAAAAATAATTCTTTAGATTTTTAGCCACCATCTTGTTGTTAACTAATTTGTAACTTTTATAAAGGCCCTGTAGCTATTGTTTTTTCTCAACTGCTAAAATAACGCCTTGTATAATGGTGGTTTTAAATAGAATTTTTCTTCAATAGATAATAAACGTGTAAGTGAATTTGTTTAATATACCACTAATTTTGGTAGCTGGTTTGACTGTTTTAGAATTTAATGCTAATATTTTTAGTTATAGAATTTTTTACTATGAGAAGTAATTGCCGTTTAAGATTATAACTGCTATACAAAGCTACGTTTTTAACTGAAAATGTGTATATAGACTTACCTTTCTTTATCCAAAAGGATACACACAAAAAGCACCACTCACTATAATAATCCGAGAAACTTTTAACAAAAAACAAGCAGAGCAGACTCGTTGATTATATGACTAATTATAAAATTGATTATTAACAGTCTTAGCCAAGAAAAGCCGCAAAGTGCAGTGACTGTAGTTGATATCGCCAGAACAGGCCACGGGCTGTTTTGCTGAGACAGCAAAGGCAGCTGTGCTAGCGTTTGTTGACTTGGTTTACACACCTAAGCGGAATAATTTCTATTTCAATACAATTTGCTATTTAAAAGAATTTATCATTGGGCTTTAATATGAACTTAAGAAATATATATGAACATTTAAGACGAAGAAGGATTGACCCTTTCTGTTCTATTTTAACAAACATTCCTAAAGTAAAATCCAGTAAATATTTTTTAGCCGTAGTTTGTAATACTTAAATATACAGGCATATTTATTAGACCCGCGCTCCACTTGCAACGCCATCTACGGATACACGCTCGGCCGCGTTATAAACTACTATTGTGAAATGGAAATCGCGGCTACTGCCTACGTCTCCGCTCGACCACGTTTTGGGGCCCGCGGTGGCGGGCGAAGCCCTACACAATTTAGGTATACCTACGCGGGGTACACGCGGAGGCCTACGCACAATACTCTTGTCTACGTGGGGAATCCTACATACCTACAAAAGATACCTGCATGGGGGCCCTAAGGGGCAAAGCCCTAGGTGGGGCAAAGTCCTAGGTGGGGGTCCCAGGAAGCACGCGCCTACGTAGGGGATTCTGCATACCTACGTGGAGATACCTGCATGGGGGCCCTAGGGGGCAGAGTCCTAGGCGGGGGCAAAGCCCTAAGTGGGGTAAAGTCCTAGGTGGGGCAAAGCCCTAGGTGGGGAGGGCTGAAGTCGGTCCTGCGGGGATGCTGCACACCTGTAATTAACACCTGTCGGCGGCATCCTTTGATCTTTGCCGACAAATTTTCCCACGATCCCACAAATTTTCCCACGGCCCCAGAAATTTTCCCCAGTCTGAAGTGCCCCAATACCTACTGCCCGAACATCAAAACTATCAACGCATATTATGGCGGTTTAATCCGTCCTGCCCAATGTTGGATTTTCGTTTGCGTACGGTGACATACGGCGTGTCCTCCACACCTTATTTGGCTTTGCGTACGCTTATGCAACTGGCCGAAGAGGAAAAGGCAATTCTTTCCCGCGCGTTCGAAGTTTTGACAAATGACACTTATGTGGATGATATTCTATCCGGTTCTTCCACTGTGGAAGATGCTATTTCTCTACAGGGTGAATTAACAAATTTGTTAAAACAGGGTGGGTTTCAGCCTCATAAATGGGCAACTAATAAACCCGCTTGACAATGATGAAATTGCTAAAGTTTTAGGTTTGTGTTGGCAACCGTCGTCCGATTCATTTGCATATAAATTTATGCCCTTCAAGAAGTCTTGTACAAAACGACATATTTTGTCGGAATTGGCGAGAATTTTCGACCCGCTTGGGTTTTTAACTCCTGTCACCTTCTCTATAAAATATTTAATACAAAAATTATGGGTTTTAGGTCTCGGTTGGGATGATGAACCTCCTAATGATATAATTCGAGTCTGGAATCGATATAAATCAGAATTGCCATTAATTATGAATTTTCATTTACCTAGACATATTGGAATAAATAAATTAGATCACAATAAAATAGAACTTCATGCGTTTTCGGACGCTAGTGAACGTGGTTATGCCTCCGTACTATACTTACGCACTTATACTGATAATACCTATTTAGTTTATCTTCTTTGCTCTAAATCTAGAGTAGCGCCATTGAAAACGCTGACTATTCCTCGATTGGAATTATGCGCCGCCGTCTTATCCGCTGAATTAATTGCGTTCGTATTAAATACATACGCCAATAAAATTTCTTTCTCGAACATATTTTCATATACCGACTCTAACATAGTTCTATCATGGATAAAGAGTCATCCACATCGATGGAAACCTTTTGTTAGCAATAGGGTGAGCTATATTCAAGAAAGAGTCGATCCGTTAAACTGGCATCATATAATATCTTCTCAAAACCCTGCCGATATTGCCTCGCGTGGGGCATCCCCCTCAGAGCTCTTATCCAATTCGCAATGGTGGGCCAGTCCCGAGTTTCTTAAGAAATCAGAAGAACATTGGCCTAATTTGACAAATAATTTTGTTAACACCTCCGAGGTACGGTCGGAAGAAAAAAGAAATACTGCGCTCATGGTTTCTGTTGATAATAATTTTTTAGACAGTTTACTCAGTAATCATTCATCCTTAAACGCCATTAAACGTGTATTAGCTTATATTTTGCGCTTTATAAATAACTGCCGTTTTCCTAAAGAAAAATTCAAAGATTTTTTTTCCTTTAAGGAACTTCACAATGCTTTAATGATTTTAGTCAAACATGAACAACAAAAGGCTTTGTTCTAATGTTCTAATATCGCTAAAAATAAAAAACTTCCAAAACCTTTACAGAAATTAAATATATTCCTGGATGATAAAGGAATTCTAAGAGTAGGTGGGAGATTACATTATTGTGCACTTATTTATGATAAAAAAACATCCTGCTTTACTACCTCGTACTAGTAAATTAACTTATTTATTAATTGAAAATATTCACTTGAGATATTTCCACACTGGCCTTCAAATGGTCCAATTTCTACTTGTTCAAAATTTTTGGGTTTTATCCGCTAAGCGCGCTATACGTCATGTTTTGTCTAAATGCATTACATGTTTTAAAGTTAATCCTAAGCCGTTTCAACCTTTGATAGGTAACTTGCCCAATCCTAGAGTTTCGCCAAGTAAGCCATGTTCGCACTCCGGTGTTGATTATGCTTTTCATTTAACTTTAAGTAAAACTCGCGGTGCTAAAACATATAAAGCCTATGTGTGCTTATTTATATGTTTCTCAACTAAAGCCATTCATATCGAATTAGTATCCGATTTAACTGCAGAAGCATTTTTGGCCGCTTTACGTCGATTTATTGCACGCCGTGGACGTGTAAGCCATTTATACAGTGATAATGGTACGTATTTTGTCAAAGCTAATAAAGAATTGATAAATTTAACCCGCGATGCCGCTTCTTCTGAGTCCATAGAATGGCATTTCATACCTCCTTCTGCGCCCCATTTCGGTGGACTCTGGGAATCTGGAGTTAAACCTATGAAAAAACACTTGGTTAGAGTCATTGGCAATCAAATTTTCTTATGAGGAGTTTTATACTATTTTGTGTCAAACTGAAGCAATTCTTAATTCGCGACCGTTAACGCCCTTAAGCTCAAATGCAAATGATTTGTCTGTATTAACTCCCGGTCATTTTCTCACTATGGAACCGCTTACTGCTGCGCCCGACTCTGATTTAAGTCATATTAAAATGAATCATCTTAACCGATGGCAATTACTACAAAGAATTCACCAAGATATTTGAAAACGCTGGCAATCCGAATATTTGCATACATTGCAGCAACGCTGTAAAAGGTTAAAAAATTCTCCTTCTCCAGAAGTTAATTCGCTTGTTTTAATTCAAGATTATACGCTGCCTCCGTTAAAATGGCGGCTAGGCCGAATTTGTGCTTTATATCCTGGAGCGGATGGAGTTACTAGAGTTGCAGAAGTTTCAACGCAAAGTGGAATTATAAAAAGACCCTTAATTTAAACTATGTCCACTTCCCATTTCTGCTTCCGAAAATGCATAGCATTTTGGTGGGCCGGAATGTTCAGTATTCGTTAAAGTAGTAGTTTTAATATCATTAATTTTAACCTTAGTTTAGTTTGCATTTAAAATAACCCGCTGTTCTGTTCAATTTTTTATTCTTTTTTGTCTAATTTGCGCGATACCGACTTGCGACTCACATAGCTACATGAGGACGGAGAGTAGAAGTTCGAGTCGTCAGTTGTTCACGCTTAATCGCTGGTTTTCACGACTGCCGCTATTTGATAAAACATACTTTCGCTTTAATTAAATTGAAGTGTGCCGCAATTTTGTTTCACCCCGTTTCCACTCTGGACTGAAGACTGAGGGCCCTCTGCAACAGGGAAGACCCCGGAAGATCGGCGGTAAGTCGCAAGTCACTTTCAAAATTTACCGTAAAGATACGTTACGTGCCCAGTTCCATTTAGCTGGAGCTATCCCAAGTAATTATAAAATACAACAAAATATTCAGAAACAACATTTTTAGTTTTCATATCTTCAAAGTCATTAACATGTACGGGTTTCAAGCTTTTTGTTAAACGTTGTAATTGTTGGTAGTCTTGAATTTATATTTCTTGAAGATGGATTGTAGGTCCATTGGACGGTTCCAGGTGTATCGTCGGTAAGTTGATTTGAGTCTGTTTGATAAAGTCACTTTTAGGAAAAAAACGGCTGTCTTTAATGATCACATCACATGAGTCTATCGTCACAAGGGATGGTTTATCGATAGTATAAGTTTATTTGGCGTGGCACTGTTCACGGATTAACTCCTTTTGTTGGGGAATGATTAATTAAATTATTCCTAAGCTGTTCTAGTAACGTTGCTTGTAGTTCAATTTTGGTCGATGAGCACTAGTGCGGTTTATTGTGGATCAGGGGCAGGAAACACTGATCTTGTTGTAACCGGAAAGTTCATCTGCATCCTCTTCTATAGATGGGCATGGTTGGGTGGTCCATATATGTTGTTGCGTATCCAGATTTACATGTAGGTAAAGTTGAGTAGGAATAATGGTCTGACCATTAATCGGGATAGGAATCAAATGGTAAGTATTATATGGTTTAGGAAAAAATAGTGGTACTGACAGTTTAATCATAATTTTGTATCAAGAATGTCTACTGAGATTAGAATAAGTTATAGTAAGAATGTAGGTTAGTGAGATCAATTATCTCTTTTCGATCATACATAGCGTAGAGTTGGTTTAATATAGGTTTGACATTTTTTAAAGGTAGAAAGAAATTATGGATGATATTATGTTGAGCAAGATATGTTGCTGTTTCTAACTTTGAGAGGATCATGCAAGTTTATTTTAATTTGGATACATTAACACATCGTTTTTCAGTTTTTCTATTGTATGTGAGATCACTTTGAAATTTTTGTCAATTTTAGAAAATGAATTATTTAATTTATTATTTAAATTGATTAATATTGAACTTTGGAGATCCAAC